GCAACGCCAGAAGTCACATTAACAATGAGTATTATAAGAACATTATTTAAAAAAAATAAATTCAGAGGCTTATTATACTCACATTTGATAGAATTTCATTTAAAAATATACTATATGGTTCTTTCTGAAATATATTTCCAAATATTTGCTTTCTTGGCTCTCTGAGTTAAAAAGATTGCCGACCCCTGGTCTAGGGGAATGGACCTCTAGATCCTTTGGTCCGACCTAGGACCAGTAGAAACTTTGCACCTAGGACATTGCCATCAGGAATGTCTCCTCCCGTCGCGTAATTGTCGCCATGGCTATTTCTGTGCAGGTTTGATCGTCCCCTAAACGTTCTCGATAATAACTTACTTATACGGTGCTTCTTGAGAGTCTTTATTACCTAAGACAATTCAACTATCGTTACTGAGGACTTTCACAGTATGCTCCACTTGAAGGTGGCGCACTGACGGTGAGTTACGCGTCAATTCATTTATAATGACAGTAGATTCACCCAGCATTTACCACATTTTCTCTTCTGTCTCGGCCGGATATCAAAACAGAGTCGTACAGAGCTGAGGCTAGATCGGTTGTATGTGACTAGCACTGATGTAAGTCTGCAAATATACCTGTAATCACCCCCCAAATGTGGCATTTGTTATGAACGTGCAACCCCTAATGACACATGTCGTGCCCTCATTTGACCCCCCATGTAGCTCCAAACTATCTTCCACGTGGCCCGTTCTAGAGGCACTGCGCACCATATTTCGCCTTTTTTGTTAGCACGTCACATTGGTTTAGACTCAGCACAAGAAAATTATTCAGCTGATACCAGTGATGCGAACGGGCTTCCATCTCTCCCACATTTACCCGAATTAGGAGGCAGGCAAAGCTGTTGGTCAGGCCTACAGGAGAAGAAGGCCGTCGATATTACAACTGGCGATCCTGTGGCAACCTAGCACCCCTCCCAGAAGGTCTGCTCTATGACACTCGTTGATGAACGTTCACCGACCGCTAATGGAACTCATTTGTCCCGTTCTGCCTTGGGCCTCATTTTCCGAGCCTTGAAGCCGAAGTGCCTAGTAGTTTATGCAGATAGTGTTGCCGACAAAAGAGAATGGAATGG